CGGCCCCTCCCGCTGGCCGCGCCCCGCTGCGCTCGGCCGGCTCCGCCTCGCGCCGCTTCCCTGCCGGCCTCCCCCGGGGTCCGCTCCTCCTGACCTGCGCCCCGCCTTGGCCTCTCCGGAGCAGCCCGGGTCCCCGCGACTCCGCGGCCCGCCAAGGGCACCCCCGAGGGCTGTGCCGCGCCGCGCACCCCGGGGAGCCCCAGTTGTCCCTGCCGGGACCGCCCCCGTCCCGCTCCCGCATATTTGTTGAATGAATGAGCGGTGGACTGGTGGCCCGCACCTGGACACCCGGGAGCCGGAAGCTGGGCTCCAGGGCCGCGGCATCTCCCCGGGCCACCGCTTCCAGGAAGGCAGAACCTAGGTGTTCCCGAGCGCAGGGAACTGGTGCAAGGGACAAGGGCGCTTCCGAAGGAGCAAATCTAGGAGATCTTCCGTGAGGAAACCACTGACCAAGCCCCAGTCTGGAAACCCATGTCCACAAACTCAGGGACTTTTCTTCCCCAATTGCACCAAGCCAAACTTTCTCACTAAGGGAAGATGTCCTCCCCAAGACTTCGCTTTTCCAAACGGCACCCCTGCGGAGATGGACCCGGGGAACATCTTTTCTCCTTCGGCATCACACTAGATTTCAAAAGCAGGCTGTGCCTGGGAACCTCCGAGGGCTACGGGTGGCGCCCTCTGCGGGGAGACTCACTTCCCCCAGGACAAAAATCCAAAATGAAGGTGGGGTAAAGTCCAGGGGACCCCTTGCTACCTCACACTTAGAAGTAAAGTCGCAGGCTAAAGGCCCCGCTGATGTCCCCCATCAGAGAAAATACCTCTTGCAAGAAAACGTATTGTTCTTGGAGTCTGTGGACGTTTTTCTGCCAATTTGGAACGCGAAAATAAACACGCAGTAAAAGATAGTAATGTTTGATTAGAGATAAGTGAATTTTAGTGACTTTCTGCAAACCATGCTTGAAATTAAAAACCTTTTTCCTCTTAAGAAAGTTAGGCCCCACGGGAACTCATAATACACGTAAGAAATGCTCCTGTCACTATAGATCTGACGTCCGCAAGCAAGTCCACCGTCTCCCCCAAATAATTTATCTTTCTTGGTCAGTGATCCTCACGATCAACTTTAATCCCCCAGGCTGGGTAACCTCCTTCCAGAAGTGCAAAGAACCTATTGTGTGCAGGGCATTGTTCCTAAAGTGGAGGCACAGTCGTGAATTAAGCAAAACCCCTGTCTTCACACAATTGGTGGAGAAGGGTAAAATCAGAACAAATTAATGGATCCCAGAGGGGGCCAGGCCTACAGGGAGAAACCCAAGCCAGGGAGGCCTGAACGTGTAGGTGCTGTCCATTGACATAGAAGCATCTGGAAAGGCATCTCTGATAAGGGATAAGGCGAGATTGAAGGAAGTGAGGCTGACCCCATGGTGAAGGGGGAAGTGTTCTGGACAGTGGGAACAGCCAATGTAAAGGCCACCAAGCAGGTCTGACAGGCTCCAAACTGCCAAGGAATCCTGGACAGTGAGCTGAGTGAAGACTGCAGAGGAAGCTGGGTTCACTGTAAGGCAGAGGTGAAGGAGAACTGGAGACTGTGACACCAGGATAAGGACTTCCTGTGTTACTTGACAAGTTCTGAGGGTTTTGAACTGGGGGAGGAGGAGGAGACCCACATCACACACCAGTCTGGGGGGATGGGGGGTGGGTGTTAGGATGGATTGTAAAGGAAGTCTTCATGGAAGGTCTCTCTGCCAGCTGTTCTGGCAGTTAATTAAGACCACTGGGGCCAGGATGGTAGCAGGAGGTGGGAAGTGCTTGGGATCAGGACATGTGCTGAAGGGAGTCCTAACAGGAGGACTGTGGGAGCAGAGAGTGATTCCCAGTGAGATGAACTATTTATCTGGAAAGTCTGACAAAAAGATGTGCTTATGTTTTGTTTTGTTGTTATTTGGGGTTCTTCCTTGTTCTGTATACACCTAGGCTCCACAAACCTTAAGCTCTTAGGTGTGAGAGACTACAGGAGTGAAGGGTGACTGGAAGATTTGAGGGTTGAACAGCCAAGAACCTTTTTGTCTTCTGTGATAGCTTTGTTTGTACGCTCTGTTTTGGATCAAAGTTTACCTTCACACACTTCCTGGGACTCACTTCTTCACACGTTGCTCAGCTACTGTTCCCCATGGACCTTTAGCAGCTGTAGCCCTTGGTCTAGAACACAGGTCTGGCCTGCTGGAGAGCAGGGACTTAGAGCTGCTTGGGTCACCTGTGTTCAGGGAAATGGGATGATCTTTGCTCTCTAACCAACAGTGCATTTTGACACTTAAGTGTTAATCCTCTTACCCAGTGGAACTTGGTTTAGGCCAGAACAATTTCTGTTGTCTCACTCCTCAGTGTAGTTACAGGCTTTTTTCAAAACTGGAGGTTTGAATTTGACACTGGGGATTTCAAGTCTGGCAATAATTGCTTTTAAGAGAGTTGGAGGAAAACGGAAAATTTTAATTACAGCTTTCAGTATGTTTATTCTTTTCCCTCTGCAGACTGAAGTCCACCCACTTTGTTATATCAGATGGTTAAATCCCAGTTTGGAAGTCCATTTAAATCATAAAAGCAGAGCTATTCAAAGGCTTTTTATTAAAATGAGGTTTAAAATTAGAGAGCTGACCAGATGGGTAGGTGGAATAACAGCATGCTTCCCAGAAATATCCTTTCCTTTTTCCTTGGGGATCTTTTCAGAAGAAACGTGAAGCATATTCCACAACCACAGATATTTAGATTCCAACACCCACAAGAATACCAACACACTTGCACACACATGAGTGCATGCATCTGCGCTGGAAGGAGCTTCAGCGAAGGTGATGAGGAGAAGTGACTTTCCAGGCTAGCTTGACCTGAATTCTGTAATGGTCCCGATGATGCACAGTATAGGATTCAAAACAGCTGGCCAGGGCTTCACTTTTCCCACTGATCGGGTTTATTTTGCCAAACCTGGGTGACACACTGACTTCCCTTACAGAAGATATGGATTCTGTGAAGGACAGTGTTGTGGTAGTTGTTTGTCTTTCCTAGAAGCGGGGGATCATTACTGGAGCCTCTATATGAGCAAGCTGCTTAACAAAATATTAATAATAAAGGACATAAATCACTATTGGTTTAAGCAGAGGTTTATAGGCCTTTAAGGTCAAATGCTGTGGAGCAGGTTGATCTGTGTGAGCCAGGAGCAGGTGATGCATTGGAATTTGGGACCCCTGAACAAATAGTATAAAGGAACCTATTTTTCTAGCCCCAGAAATACTTTTTCATACTTCCTGGAGAGCCTTACATCAACTCTACTCTGCAACTCCAAATGCTGTGGGTCTTGAACATCATTGGATCTGTCCTAAGCAGTGCCTCATGGCTGTGGGTAAGACTTTACTCTGACACTTGGGGGAGATGATACAGTTTCTGTGCCATTTTTCCCCTGATCCTCCCCATCAGGAGACTTATGCTTGGGTCAGCACCACCAAGCACACCAAGCAAGGCACTCTTAGTTTTGTTTCTAAAATGTTCTTAAGTTACAAATGTCTTAAGTTAGTTGAGGCAACCTTGGGAAAGGGATCAATGACATGAGTATTGAGAAATCATTAGTTTGTTGAGGGACTGGGGGAGATGACTCAGTGAGTTAAGATTTTCCATGCAAGCCTGACTACCTGAGTCTGAATCTGCAAAACCCATAAAATGCTGGACTGAGTGGTATGTTGTAATCCCATTGCTCCTAGGGAGATGGGAGGAAAAGACAGGAGACTCTCCAAGGCTTGTGGACCAGCTAGCCTCCTGTATGTAGAAAAAAAACAAGAGATTCTGACTCAAACAAGGTGTAAGGCAAAGACCAGCACCCAAAGTTGTCTTCTGATGTCCACATGTGCAGCATAGCACAAGCACACCAGCACTCACCCACATGAATGTGTGTGCACACACACGTACACAAATGTACACAGATTTTTAAAAATCATTAGTTTGTTGAAAGTATAATAGATTCAGTCAGGTGAGATGGAATCAAAGCTCTGAATTTTTAAAAAAACTACATTTTATATGCTGTTCTAAAAGATGATCTATAGTTTTTCAAAGATCCCTACATGTGTATAAAAAGTCTTAGTAGGCCAACGTTGGTAGTGCATGCCTTTTACTCCCAGCACTCAGGAGGCAGAGGCAGATGGATCTCTGTGAGTTTGAGGCCAACCTGGTAAGTTTCATAGTAAAACATAGTTCCAGGCCAGTCGGGGATACATAGTGAGACTCTTGTCTCAAAAAAAAAAAATCTTCATAAAGCTTGGCATGGTGGACCGTAGAGATGGCTCAGAGGCTAAAAGCCCGTTCTGCTCTTCCAGAAGACCTGAATTCAGCTCCCAGCACCAATATCAGGGAGCTCACAACCACCTATGACTCCAGCTCCAGGGAGATCCAATACCTCTGGCCTCCTTGGGCACCCACATGTATGTGAATATACCCATGTTCACATACCCTAAAGCATATGCACATATACACATAATCAAAAATTAAATTTTAAAAAACCTTGACATGGTCATACACGCCTTCATATCTTTAATTCCAGCATTCAGGAGTTGGAGAAAGGAAGATCAGGAGTTCAAGACCAGCCTGGGATATATGAGACCCTGTCTCAAAACAAAACTTATAAGACTGTTTAAAACAATAGATAGATAATCAGATGTGGTGGTGCACACCTTTAACCCCAGCACTTGGGAGGAAGAGGCAGATGGATCTCTGTGAGATTGAGGCCAGCCTGGTCTACATAGTTCCAGGCCAGCTGAGGCTACAGAGAGACCCTGTCTCAACAACCAAAATTTAAAACAATAAAAATAAAACAAGAGATAATGGTGAAAATTAGGAAGCAATATGAAAAACTTAGCCTAAGTAAAAATAATTAAGTCTTATGTTCCACAATGTAGTTACAA